CATTGAGGAGCTAAAAGGCAAAAAATATAACAAAAAAATATTTTGAAACATTTTTGGGTTAAAAGATATAATGGGATGGGTTAAAAAAGTTTTTGGGTTAAAAAAGTTTTTGAAACGTTTTTCGATTGAAATGGTATAAAAAGGTTTGTTGGGGCTAATTTTTATTGTCAAAAGTGAATAAATGAGGGAGATAAGAGATGAGGGGGTACTATGAAATCCTTAGGGATTTTTTTATGCCGCTTGAAAGAAAAATGGAAGGAGGGTCTACTATGAACTAAGATGGGGAATTAGGGTTTTGTACAAAATTTTCCCTTAAAAAATGTATGAATATGCATTTTTAATATAAAATCTGTACCTAAAATAGGATGACTGGGCACCCCTTGTCCCCTTTTGAACCTATGCCGCCCAGGTTCTAGGTGGCCGCCTAGGCGCCGCCTGACATTTTTTGGAACACTGAAAGTTGTCTTGATTTTTTGTTTTTTAAAACGTTAACTATCAGTAGTGGGTTAGCAATTTTTTTTAACCGTTAGTAGTTTTTTGAAAGGGTTTAGCATTGATAGAACTAGAAACTGAGATCGGTAGCCGAGGCACGGGTGGCGCCACCACTCTGAGCTCAACCTCATTCCTAATTGTCTTAAATTGTTAATAGATTAAGTCGACGAAATTACTAGTACTGGTAGAGCTCAAAAGTTACTTATAATTTTAAAACTTGCTACTTTTAAGCTATAAGTTAATATGAAGTTATTTAATTCGGTAAAAAACTTATAAATACACTTGTTGACCAATGCTCTAATACTAATCTAGTATTTACAAAATGCAACTTGCAAAACAGAAAATGCTAACTTACCCTCTCAAAGGACCTTCAATTGTGCTTACAACCAGATGAGCTGCATGTTAAGCTCAACATCCTTATGGCACCCTTTCTAAGTTTGTAGCACGAGGCTGCAAATTCAAATTGCATACAAAATAGAATAACTGTCTACAATATGATTGAATTTAATATCTATATTCTACACTGTTTTATCAAAGTATGAAACTATGCAAACTGTATGAATCTTAAAAAAATTATTCCAATTAAATAGATTACCTAGACTTGATTTGGTCCTTTGTCACTTTGCCATTTCCTTCCCAAATGATATCAACAGACACTAATTAAAGATCAATTCATCAGCAGATATCTTGGTATTACTCTTTTCTTTTCTTTTTTGATATTATATCTTGGTATTACTCTTGAGAACTAATCCCTCAAGACACTCATTCAAACCCTCTATAATACATCCTTCCTCTCAATGTCCAACTCAGCATAAAAAAAAGTTTGGGTTCAAACAGTAAGCTGCATGCTATCGTTGATGAAGCCACATATCCGATATTCTATCCACAATATCCTATATTGGCCATAGTCGTTCTCATCATTGCCCAAAGATTTAGCTCTCTGTCAGCTCCATCTAATGCATCATATATAAAGTGCATGGAAAACTGCACCTCACTATCGACCATGTGCAGTACTTTGATTAAGAGTAGAATGCTCTAAGTGAGTATTTTACACCTCCCTGAAACAGCTCAGACAAAACAATATCACATGCCCTCTTCCCTTTTGGAGCCCTAGCCCACTTGTCAATTCTATGAAGCGAATATCATTCTCAATTGGTTTCTCTTTTCAAATATGCTATATGGCTGAACCTAATAAGAGAGCAATAGAAATGTTGGCCTACTTCCACACTGGATAGATCGTATATCCCTTGTAGACTTAGGAAAGAAGTGGCAAATCTCGTTACCCAGGACCTCACTAAATCCCTCTTCCTAGTGAACTTTCGCATCATGCTAAAGTGTGTCACTATAAATGAAATACGGTCACAGGTTAGTTCTAGTTATTGTACCATTTACCCTAGGAATTTCACCAGTAGCCTAAAGCATGAGTTCTATGTAGTGTCCTGTGCATGGTGTCCAAGAGACATGAGTCCACTTTTGGCTCAACAAAATCACAGCAGCAGATTGGCTGCAGCATTATTGGTTACCACTTGAATAATATGTTCATCCTTTACCTCCTCAACCCCCTTGTCAATTACAGAGAAATGAATTGTGTGTCATGTATATATTAGATGCATCAATTGACCTCAATAATATTGTCCCTAAAGGAAAATTCACCATTAGGTGTATTACACTTCTGCTTCTCCTATCGCTCTATGTATTTGTCATAATTGTCACCCCATATTGGACCTACACATCCTTATGGATCTTGAGGTACTCCTTGGTAAGTTGTAACTCCTTCTGGAGCAATGGCTCCTTAAGCTCATATGAGGTCGAGCGCTTCAGCCTTTGCCCAAATTGGCTTGTTGCTTTCAACTTTGTATGGAAGTTGCATAAGCAAGCCATACGAAAAGCTATACCTGCCTGTTAAGAAAATCGAGTAATATAGTGATTTTCTCTGGCTCATTCTTCCTCTTGAATCTATTTTCTAGTAGTTGCTTGCTTTTTCCCTTTCTCCATTGTTTTCTCAGGAATGAGGGGAAAAGACATCCGTTGGCCTCTCCATACGAGGCTTCTTTACCTGCTTCTTAGAGAGGAACCCACTTCTATTTCCCCTCCATCATCATCATCATCCTATTATCACCAAAAACATTTACCTTCTTTTTGAATAATGGTTGACTCTAAAATATTTACCTTTACCCTCAACTCTGCCATACTTGCCTCTTTTGGCGCCTTCTTCCTCTTTTCAACATACACACAGTCAAAACTCTCCTTCCGAACTTTTCTTGGTACTTTGTTACATGGGGTAACATCCCTCATATCGGTGAGGTGTTTTTTAAATCTATTGATCCTTGCATTTGTAGCTTTGCCACAAAAATTGCACCTGATTTTGCTCCTTGTCAATTTTATCTGTGCAAAACCCATATTTCTATCGTGGATCCCTGCTGCTATCAGAACCCATGGACAACATTTGGTAAAAAGGAAGAAATGTCAAGTACGAAGATAAAAAAACTAACATTTGTTGCCTGATCTTTGATCTTCGAGGTTTTGGATGTCTATGAACCTCTAAATCACCATGAAGTTTTCTATGTAACTTCTATTTGTGCTCCACAATGAGTCCAATAACAAAGTAAAGTGGAGTTTGAGATGATTTCTCAAACTTGTAAAGTATTTTGATCTAAAAATATATGAGATCTCTTTTCTTTAGGTTTTAGGGTTTGAAAGCCTAAAAAATACCCCCCATATGCCAGCACCTTCCTTTTTTACCCCTTAAAAGGGGGAAATGTCCAAAAAAACCCCTTGCCTTTTGCCATTCCCAACCTTGGGCAAGGTACTGACCTGGGCACCTGCCCAGGTGGGCACCCAGGGCTATGCTGCCTGTGTCTCGGGAGGGTGTCATAACCCCAATGCTCAGACCTAATTTTGTGGCTTTTACTTTCACATGCCTAGGACTGTTAGTAGGTTCAGGTTCGGGCAGGGCCATCCCTGGCCTGAGCTTGGTACAGCATGGTAGATCCAGACCCAAAATTTTAGTTTCAGAGCTTGGGCCGGCATGGTAGATCCAGACCCAAAAATTTAGTTTCAGAGCTTGGTCCGGCATGGTAGATCCAGACCCAAAAATTTAGTTTCAAGCCCAGCCCAGGTTCGGCCAGAATTCATCATAACTAGGCTTGACCGAAAAAACTGGCTGGCCCCTATATAAATATGGGAAAATTTGTTTGTTATTTAATATATATGCTTCAAAATTTTGGGCAAGGCCAGTGCCAACCTGCCCGAGCCTGGCCTGGGCGAGGCCCGAAAATATTTCAAACTTTCCAAGCTTGCCTAGCCCCACCAGCAGGCCTTGACATGTAGCACGAATCAGTCCTGGCTCAAACACCGCGGACCGGCCTGGGCCCATTCACAGCCCTACATGTGCCCTTCGTTTCTGTTTTAAGTCAATTCATTGTTGTGCTTTTCTTTGACCCCAAGACTGTGTCATACCCTACTGTTCATTTTGTCAGACTGTGATGACACCCAACGGACTATGATTTTCCGTGCTCTGGATTACTATTATTTTCCCTTTCATGTTTATGTGGATGCATTAATTTGGTTCAGATGTAGTTTGTGGTTCCTGACTTGCATTTTGATGTTTGAAGGTGAACCAGAAAGCCGCTGAATCTTTGGCAGATCCAGAGGAGTACCCCAATTTGTTTGAGGACTGGCAGGTTGCTCTGGCTGTTGAATCCAGTGTAGCTCAAAAAAGGTTAGCTTTGCCATTGTTTCATTCCATCTCTCCCCTATTTGGTTTTGTACACTGTACATACAATGTGTGTGCTTTATGGTGCATAGCCTTGGCATTCATCATTTATTGTTAACAACATAGAAATTAACTGAGTTCCTATGAGTAGCAGTCCCCCATGTATGGGTAATCTCCACCGACCATCGTCGAGAAAGTATGGTGCATTCTTGCCTTGTACCTTATGCCTCATGAAGCTGCATTGAGTAGTGTTCTATGATTTTAATCCCTTTTCGAGTATTCCTTTTCCAAGTAGCTGTTCAATGTAGAAATAATGCTCTGGCCTGCTTAAAATTCTCACTGTATTGACCATCCAATCTGTCCGGCAACATATGCTGGTCCAGAGGTTCTTAAGTTGTGTACTTAATTATGGTTTGCTCCTAGGCTATGGCTCACCATCTTTCACTATAGTGCATATGGTCTTGCTCTTGCTGGTATTCTTTGACCAATGGAGAAGTATACAATACCCCCAATGGTGTATGGTATACAGGACACAAACAAGGGTATCAGATGCTATTCAAAATGACATGATGGAGATTAAATGTATTTCCTAATGACACAAATTCGCCTGGGTGGGGTCAATCAGGCAATAAATACGTCTTGCATTGTGTAGAATCCGCAACATCCTGCGTATGCATTGTCCTGTGTATTTTACTGTATGGTTTTTGAAGATTAATAAATCTTAAAAGTAAAATTATATTGGTGATTCATCAAGTTTTCTTCTTCATTTTGTTTTTTTTTGCCATAGTTTGAAACTTGTTTCCTTAATTGATTATACAGGGAAACTTACCTTCTGGCAGAAGAATATTTGAGGTATGCAGAAAGGAGAAGTTTCAATCTCGTGGAAGAATTTAAAAACATGCACATTGAAGGTGAAGGAGAAGAAGTAGAAGAAATGCCTCTTGAAAATGGGACTTTGGCTCATGAGGTGCATATATGTTTCCTCTTTTTTTCTTTTTTTCCACCCTCTCTGTCCTGGATCAATGCGCTTCATTTGTCTAGTTTCTAAAATTTATATGATCTATAATTTATATCATTAACTTATCATTTGTGTGATCAGGAGGAAGAAGGTGTCGATGGAGAAGTCGAAGACACGAAAGATGCAGATGCTGATGATTCGACAGATGGGGCAGTCATAGTTAATGGGAGCGAGGCTGACGAAGAGTGGGGTATGAATAACGAAGGAACTGTTCCATCATCAGCCTAAGCTCCCAATTCATTGGTTGGCACTGTAAAATCCAAATTTTGTCTCCGGTGATTAATTATTTTTCTGCAAAATTCCTTACCTCATATTTTACCTCCCATTTACCCAAGTTTTTCTCTTTCCTTGACACACACCACAATGTTCACACGCACAACTTATTTTTGTGTTTCATCTAAATTGTTAATTTCCCATGCTTTTCATTGTGATCTGGTTGGGTCCAATCAAATACTGATTAGATATTATTTTTGCTGTTCTTGTTGAGTTGGCAGTGTTAGAGCCACATCACTGAGGTTGATTCCAGCAGCTGTTCGTGCAATTCAGAGAGGTACAAATACTTTTTTGGGCAATGATTTCATGCAACCGTTGTATAGTTATATGATGCAACAACCTATAAAAACCATCTTATGGCCATTTGTTTGATCCAAATTTTGAAATATACACTCTTTTCATTCTGATGAACAATCACAAG